ATCCATCTATCTATCTGCCATCTATCTATCATCTATCAATCATCTATCAATTATCTATCATCTATCTATCTATCTATCATCTACCGTCTATCAATCATGTGTATGTATTATGTGCCGTCTATGAATCATCTCCCCATTACGCATCACTCATCCATGTGTCCTGTAGTATCAGTGACGTGGCCGTCACGTGCACCGTCGTGTTGGGTGCCGGGACGGAGCCGTTACGCAGCGTGCACGTGTCCGGGGGTCCCCGGGTCGCACCTGAGCGGAAGGCGTGGCGGCCGGTGAGGAAGGCGGCGCGGCTGGGGGTGCAGAGCGGGGCGGCCGCCAGGTGCTGCGTGAGCCTCACGCCGTCCGCCGCCAGCCGGTCGATACTGGGCGTCCTGGGGACACGGGGGGGGGCGCATCAGTTGCAGGTCTGCTGAGCCCCCCCCCGACTAAATAACAGTTTGCGTTTTCAGGGAAACTCTGCAGGTCGCTGTCTACGAGCTCCGAGAATCCCAAGTCCAAGAAAGACTTGTGACACGTGTTGCGCACAGGTGAGAAGCACCGAGTCTCCAGTGTTACGCACGGTACTCCGCGAGTGTCTACCAGCCTGCCGGGCCCGTTCGGCAATCGAGTTACCCGTCCATCATCCGTCATCCCTCCACCCGACGTGCGTGATCGTCATCATCGTCCACCATCATGGTCCCCATCGTCATCACCACCACCACCACCATCACCACCACCACCACCACCACCATCACCACCATCACCACCACCCTCCTCCTCCTCCCCACCACCATCATCATTATCCATCACTATCATCATCACCTCACCATCACCATGGCCACCACCACCATCCTCATCACCACCACCACCATCACCATGGCCACCACCACCATCCTCATCTCCATCCGTCATCATCACCATCATCCATCCCCGTGACCTGGCACAGCCCGCACGTCCCAGCCCATGACGACACGTGTTCTCTTCACAGCGCTCACGGACCGAGCACCCGTCACGCTCCCCGGGCTGCACGCGTGCGCACTTCCCCCCTCACCTCAGTGTTTCGTTGCCATAGCAACCCAGGTCCCCGACGCCCAGGTCGTCAGCCATGATGAGGAGGATGTTGGGCTTCGCGGTGCCGGGCGCAGTGCAGACGCGGGCTCGTAGGAGGAGACCCAGCAGGACGGGAGCGAGCACGGCGCCCCTGGGGGTAGGAGCAGGGTGCTGCTCACGGTCCTACCACCAGCCCACGTCCTCCAGCTCTAGCGGAGCGGAGCACCGAGCTCCCACTCAGATCAGTCCGGGGCCCAGGACTCAGCCCTGGAAAGTCCACGGGTTGGGTACTTAGTCTCGGGTGCTTGGTGACTTACAGGCCGGTAAGAGGCCGTGTGAACGGCACCTGAGGTTGTGTCCTCCGCACACGCTGCGGGACACTCAGAGAACCAGTACCCGTCCCATCAGTACGGACTAAGTCCCAAGCACCCTCAGAAACTGCACCATAAGCACGTAGAGACCCTGTCTCAAATAGCAAACAAAATAATAAATAAACGTTGAAAATATAGTTATTGTGACAACGCGCCACAAACAGGCAAGGTATGAACTGTACATGTAACATGACTTTCATTTTCATGCGTTTTTCCATTTTATTATGTGTTTTACTTTATATTTTTATTTATTTTATTCTATTTTCCTAATTTTTTAATTTCATTTTATTTGTTTATCCTTTTTTTCCTCCATTTGATTTTCATTTTTATATATTTTATTTTACTTTATTTTTCTATATTTTATATTTTCTTTATACTTAATTTTTCATTATATTTCATTTTTATTTTATATTCTATTTTAGTTATTTTTTGTTTTATTTTCTTTTCTATTTTCTTTATTCTTTTCTTTCTGTTCATTTTAATTTTATTTTACTTATTCTTTATTTACACGTTTTCACTCTGGGCAGGAGGCGTGTCTACACGGTCTCAGATTCTCAGGTAACTTCTGGTCTCCGCCTGGCCGGGAAGCTCGGCCTCCTGACAGCTGGTCCACAGCTTCCCGGCCCCGCGCCCGTCCGTTTTTCGTCGTTCCAGAGCTGCGCGTTGTTGTTCTCTGTGGTCCGTAGCGGATAATCCGCAGGCTCCGAGGCCGCCTTAGGGGCGTGACGGGCGGACCGAGGTCACCCGGAGCGTGCCGTGTGCAACCCCCGCCCCCCCCCAGGGTGTTGAAAGCTTAGGGATGGGAATGAACACCTGGAAGGCCGGGGCCGGTTGGGACCAGAAGGGGCGGGACGAGGCGGCTGGGGGCGGGGCCTGGGGGGAAACGGGGGGCCCTGAGTTCCAGTCTGCGGAATAGGGGCAGCGGCTGTGTGACGTCAGGCAGCTGTGTGACGTCAGGGCCTGCGGGGTGGGAGAGGTTGGGGTGCACCTTGGGGCGGGGTGGACACAGGAGGGAGCCCGACGGTCTGTGCGGGGTTGTCATGGGAGCAGAGGCCAGCGTGGGGGTGATGGGCAGGACGTGGGCGGGGCCTGGCAATGATGGACAGGTGTGGGTGGGGCTGAGCGATGATGGACAGCGCCGTGGGCGGGGCCTAACTTGGGGCCCACGTGGTGTCCGCGGAAGTGGGTCCTGTGCACAGGGACGGGGAGCCCCTCCTCCCCCCAGTCCGCCCCGCCGCTTCCCCCACCCGCTGCTTTCCTAGCACAACCGCCCACAAGCACTCTGTAATGACTGTGATCAGGTTTCCAGCACCCTTCCCGTCCTGGGCCTGCAGTGACTCCCCGGGGGGGACTCTGTCATTAAGGACTCAGCACCCCCAAAGGAGCACCGAGGCACAGTGACCCTGTAATTACCGTTCCAACACCCGCCCTGTCCCAGGCCCGGGAGGACCGAGTCCGGACAGCGATTAGGTCGTTACTCACCCACCACCCTCCCACCCCTTCCTGCGCCTGAAGGACTGAAAACAGGACAGCGACTGCGACATTACCGATCCAGCACCCCACCCCCGGATCTGCAGGACTGAGCACCCCAGAAAGAAAGCCGCAGCGTCGAGACAGTCCTTGTGGATCCAGCACCCACCCCTCCCAGGCCTGGAAGACTGAATACCACGACCTGAAACTGACTCTGTCATTATCAATCCAGCACCCATGGGCCTGCAGGACTGAGCACCCTGGAAAGCACCGTTCTGACAGAGACCGTGTCATTGGGGATCCAGCACCCTCCCCATTCCAGGCCTGCAGGGCTGAGTAACCGGGAAAGGAGCAATGTCCTGACAGTGACTATGCCAAGGCAGATCCAGCACCTCCCGTCCCCCGTGGGGGTCCCCGCACCTGCTGCTGGATCCCATGGCTGAGGTTGGCGTGATCGAAGGATCTGGGCCCCGGGCCTGGCGCTGAGTGCTGAGTGCAGAGTCCCCGCCCACTCAGCTCCTAATCCCCCCAGGCTCAGTTACAACCAGTTCTCCAGGCTGTGCAGGATGGCGGCCATCTTGAAACCTGACTGAGGCTGATGCAAGCAGCACTCCACACCCCAACCCTTGAGGACGGGGTTCCCTGGGCGCGTCCGGAGGGGCCCTAACCCAGCCCTGGGGCGCCCGGTGCCATAAAAGGATTTAATGAGCACACAGTGGGGACTCGGGTGGGGCTCACTGAGCGCACAGTGGGGACACGGACAGGGATGGGCACTGAGCACACAGCGGGGACACGGGTGGGGAGGAGCACTGAGCGCACAGCGGGGACACGGGTGGGGAGGAGCACTGAGCGCACAGTGGGGACACAGATGGGGAAGAGCACTGAGCGGGACACAGATGGGGAGGAGGACTGAGCACACAGTGGGTACACGGGTGGGGAGGAGCACTGAGCGCACAGTGGGGACACAGACGGGGAGGAGCACTGAGCGCACAGTGGGGACACGGGTGGGGAGGAGCACTGAGCACACAGTGGCGACATGGATGGGGAGTACTGAGCACAGTGGGGACACAGATGGGGAGGAGCACTGAGCGCACAGTGGGGACACAGATGGGGAGGAGCACTGAACACACAGTGGGGACACGAATGGGGAGGAGCACTGAGCGCACAGTGGGGACACAGACGGGGAGGAGCACTGAGCTCACAGTGGGGACAGACAGGGAGGAGCACTGAGTGCACAGTGGGGACACAGACGGGGAGGAGCACTGAGCGCACAGTGGGGACACGGATGGGGAGGAGCACTGAGCAGTGGGGACACAGATGCGGATGAGCACTGAGCGCACAGTGGGGACACGGGCGGGGAGGAGCCAGGACTAGTAAGGACGATGTGTGGTAAAAGCGGTCCACACCGTGGCTTCTGCATGGTTGGCTGCAGTGAAGACCCAGCATCCACCGTGCCGAGTTCTTCGAGCTGCTCGGCCACGGCATCTTCCTGAAACGACCAGGTCCCGGAGTGCAGTTTCAGGAGACCGTGCCGGGTGCTGGGGACTGGGTCCTCCGCACGTGAATCAGCAGATCCGGATCGGCCGCGGTGCTCAGAGCGGCGAGTGCCCGTGCATACCGGGCTGGCCGTTGGGGGTACCGAGCTCGGTGTCGCACCAGCACCGCGGGAAGCGGCCGCAGCAGGGCTGCAACCAGGGCCGCCACACGTTGTAGATGGAACCGAGCTGCTGCCGCATCACCAGCAGGGTCGCCCGGTGCGTCGCCGCTGCCCGCTGCAGCGTCGCCACCACCTGCTCGAACGCGGGCTCCGTCTCCGCCGTCAGCGGGTGGTTCTCCCCAGGGTCCGCCGAGAGCTCGAACAGCAGCGGCGGGTCATGCAGGGTCACCCCGTCCCCAAAGCAGGGGCACACGCCGCGCCCGTAGCACGCGCCCGTGCCCTCGGGTTCGAAGACCGGGGTCATGTAGTGCGCCTTCCAGATTTTGCCTCCTGGGGGTAACAGAGGACGGACACGTGTGACCCACCAGGGGCCAATGCCCGCGTGACGTGCAGCTGCCTGTCCGCCCCCGACATGGGAACACTGTGGGAAGGGACACTATGCAGCCAGGAAAAAGGATCGGGTGGGGCCAAAAACCCCACGCAAAGGAATAGTATGCAGCCAGGAAGAAGAATCAAGCTGGGAGAAGAACACATGAACAAAAAAACAAGAAAAAAACAGGAACACAGGTGTGATAAGAACTGGTGCAGCCATGCAAAGGAACAAGAGGACATGTGAACTTCCTGAAAAGGAAGAGTATTCAGCCAGGTAAGAGAATAGAGCTGCGTTAAGAACATGTGAACTCCTTGTGAAGGAACAGTATGCACCAGGAAAAAGAATAGAGCCAGGACAAGAACACATGAACGCACGTGACAGAATAATACATATACAATCATGAAAAAGGAAAACTTTCCTATAACAACACGTGAACTCCATGAGAAAAGAATAGCATGCAGCCAGGAAGAACAAGTGAGCTGGGACAAGAACACATGAAGTCAATGGGAAGGAAGAGTATGCAGCCAGGAAAAAGAATAGAGCTGGCATAAGAGCACGTGAAGTCCATGAAAAGTTAGAGTATGCAGCACGGAAAAAGAACAGAGTTGGGTTGAGAACAGGTGAACTCCCTGTAAACAAACAGTCTGCACCCAGGAAGAAGACTGCCGGGATAAGAATGCATGACCGCACAGGATGGAATAGCATACAGCCATGAAAAAGAAGCCGGCTGGGATAGGGTTAGGGTCGAGGCTGCCCCGCCCCCAGCATGCTCCCAGGCCCTGGGCCCCTCGGGGATCTGCGCTTACGCTCTCGCTGCACCCAGCGCGCCGCGTGCAGGAAAATCTGGCAGTAGTGGAACATGACCTCGTGGTCTGAGTGCTGTGCGGTCCCCAGGAGCAGCGGCAGCAGGTTCCGGCTGTCAATCACCCTGCGAAGGACACGCCCCCGCGGGGCTGCACATTTGCATATCTCCAACGTGTGCCCACGCGCACGCGTGTGCTTAGGTCTGCGTGCGCGGCGAGGCCACGGCTTGACATGCTTGCGCATACATGTGGGAGCCTGTGTGCGCACGGGGCTCGGAGGCGGTGCTGGAAAGCCCTGTCAGTGCAGCCAGGCAGTATCAATCCAGCCTGGAGCTATATACCAAGACAGCATCAATCCAGCCCAGAGGGCTGCACCAAGGCAGTTTCAATCAAGCTCAGAGCTCATTGCTAACACGTGTGTGAGGAATCACTGTCAATGGCTGTTTGACTCTGCACCGAGGCCGTCCCCATCCAACCCACAGCCATGCACCGAGGCAGTATTAATCCAACCCAGAGCCGTGCTCCCAGGCACTATCAATCAATCTCAGAGCTCGTTGCTAACCATTCGTGTGCATGTGGAGGCAGGAGGGGAACGTTAGGAATCATCGTCACGGCTGTTAGACTTTCTGCAGCGAGGCAGGATCAATACAACCCAGGGCTGAACACCAAGGCAGTATCCATCAAGCTCAGAGCCATCCACCAACCCAGAGCCATGTACCCAGGCAGTATCAATCCAGCCCAGAGCCATGCACATAGGCAGTATTAATCCAACCCAGAGACATGCACGGAGGCAGTCTCCATCCAACCGACCCATGTGCCAAGGCAGTATTAATCCAACCCAGAGCCATGCGCCGAGGCAGTATCCATCAAGCTCAGAGCCATCCACCAGCCCAGAGCCATGCGCTCGGCTCTCGATTACCTGTCCTGCGGCACCTGGCCGCCGGCGAGGTCGACCACCGTGGCGAAGACGTCCATGAGGCTGGTGGGCTCGTCCACCACGCGCCCGGCCGGAAGCACCCCCGGCCAGCGGAAGATGCCGGGGACGCGGATGCCGCCTTCCCAGCCGCCCATGCCCTTCCCGCCTGCCAGGAAGGAGACACGTGATGTGTGTGTGGGGCCCAAGCATGGGGCCCCCGAGGATGACGCAATCCTCCCCGTCCCGGGGCCGTGTGCAAAGCTCCCGCCCGTCTGCACGTGCCAGGCTGTCCCATCAGGAGGGTGTGCGGCCGACCTCTGTAGCCTCCGTTCCAGCCGCCATACTGGACGCCGTCCAGCTGCGCCTCCAGGTGGCCGCCGTGGTCGGACGTGAAGTAGACCAGGGTGCGGCCGCTCAGTCCTTCCTTCTCCAGCACGTCCAGGATGTATCCTGAAAGGAACATTCTGTCACCGAGAACAACACCTCCACTGACTGAGTACAACACTGCCTGTGACCGAGTCCAGCACCATGAGTAAACAGAACAGCACTGTGTGACTGAGAACAGCACTGTGACTGAATGAGCACAGTACTGTGAGTGACCGAGAACAGCACTGCAAGTGACTGAGCACAGCACCACGTGACCAAGAGCAGCACCGTGAGTGACAACAGTTCTGTGAGTGACTGAGTACAGCACCCACACTGACCGAGTACAGCACAGCACCACGTGACTGAGAACGGCACCGTGAGGGATGTAACACTACCCCTGCACGTAGGGATGGAAACATCAAGCCGTTCTCCACGTGAGCCTGGGGACGTCGTAGGGATGGGGACCTCACGCCCTCCGCCGTGTGGGATAGTGACGTCATTCCATCGCCCACCTGAGGCGGTGACGTCATGCTATCCCGTGACACGGAGATGGCGACATCGTGTTGCCCCCCAGGTGGATGGTGACGTCACGCTGCCCCCCCAGGGCCGGGACCCGGCTCACCAACCATCCAGTCCAACTCCTCCACGTGGTCCCCGTACGGCCCGTGCGTGCTTCTGCCCACGAAGGCTTCATCCGTGATGAGCGGGATGTGTGCGTGCAGGAAGGACACGAACAGCAGGAAGGGGCCTCGCTTGTTCCTGAGCGGACACGGGGTGGGGCGACTGTGATCGGCACATCGTCGATCGATTGAAGTCGTCTATCTACGCGTCATGCGTGCACGGTTCTGTCTACCATCTACCGATCGTCCACCATGCTTTATGTATGTGTACGCCATGTATGTGTCTGTCATCTGTCCGCGGATCTATCCTCTATGCCTGTATGCACTGTGCATCTACATACCTGTCATCTGTGTCTAAGGATGTATCATGCATGTCTATCATGTATGTGCCTCCATGTGTACCATGCATGTATCGTGTCTATCTACATGTGTATCATGCATGTATCTATTCATCTATCATTATGTACCTCACCTTCTACGTATGTATGCATTATCCCTGTAGCTATCACCTATGTCTACATGTGTAACATGCATGCCTGTGTCATGCATGTAGCGACGTCTACCACTTGTGCATATGCACGTATCATGTAGACATCTATCTGCATATTTATCATGCATGTCTGTGTCTACGTTTAATACATGTGCCATGTATGTATCTATCTGCAGATGAATCATGCATCTGTGTATCTATCATGCATGTATCACATGTCTATCATCTATGGATCAAGACTTCTATGTATGTATTATCTATTATGTATCTACATCTACGTTTACATATTTATCATGCATGTGTGTGTTACGTATAGGCATATGTATCTGTATATGACATATGTATCTATCTCCATATCTACCATGCATGGGTATCGATCGTGCATGTATCTGTGACACATGTATTTACATACCTATACGTATGCATGTATCACGTATGTACCTATCTATGTATGCATGAAGTGCGTTTCTACTTGTCTGCCATGTATGTGTTCACCTACATGTCTATCATGTATATGTGTCTATCACAGGTGTCTACATCTACATAAGTACGTATGCATGTATGACGCATATATCTATCTACATACCCGTCTTGATCCGGGTGTTGAAGACCCCGTGACGAGAGAGATGCTTGATAAATCGATAGGCCGATCAACATGTAGGTGTGTACATATGTGGTACATGTATGATACATACATGATAGGTGTGGAGGTTGACAGATACATACATGATAAACAGGTAGACGCATGCATCACACATGCCAGTGCGTGCGTCTGCCCGGTCCGGAGCCCCTGGGACCATGACCCACAATGCTCACCGCTGCAGGAATGACGTCACTTCCGCCAGGAGCCGCCCTGTGAACTGCTGCACCTTCATGGGCTGCTGCGTGATGCTGTGGTTTCTCATGACGAAGCAGTCAGCGTAGACAATGACGTCACCCACGTGGTGTTCTGCGGCGCGCAGAAGGGCAGCGGCCCCGCCCAGCAGGACGACCAGGGCCCAGGGCGCAGGGACGAGGCGCATGAGCTTCCCGGAGGCCAGGGAGAGTGCGGCCAGCGCCGCCAGCTGGAAGGCCGTGTGCAGAGAGTGCTCCAGCCGCAGCCTCTTCTCGGACAGCACAGCTCGCGTGCAGTCGCCCATCATGCTGAAAGGCATGCCGTAGAAGTGCTGGAAGCCGTGGCTGCTCGGGTGGTGGCAGTGGTCCGACGACGACTCGCAGTTCAGACCGAGGTGCCACTTTCCTGCGGGGAAGGACGTGCGCAAACCGGGGAGGACGTGCGCAAAAAATTAAGCCAAAAACAAAAAATAAATATCAATGGTGCACACAGCGACACACAGGCATACATAAAACTGAATATAGATATGAAGTGTAAATAAATAATATATAAAATAAAAGTAACATAAATATCAATACTGTGCCCGTGTGGCACATACACACACCAACACACGTGCATACACATGATTAAATATAAACACATGAAATAAAAATATAAATATAAATAGACGTGAAATTAACAATAAGATGAATGAAAATAATTCAGTGACACGCAGACATCAACACACAAGCACATGCGAAATTAAAACATAAGACAGTGATATGTAAGTAATTTAAGACATAGAAAAATAAATTACTAAGACGCACTAACACGCCTCTGCGCAGACAGAGGCACATACACTCGAGCGTGCTTGGACACGTGCACACAGGCATGGGCACATGCGCACAGGCACGTGGATCCACAGATGCACATTCATGCACACACACACAAGCACATACGTGTACACGCGGACCCCGCAGCATACCGATGAGGCCGGTGGCGTAGCCGCGCTCCTGCAGTATTTTGGCGAAGGTGATCTCTGTGGTCGGAAGCCCCCCGGACCCCGCAGCCCACTGCAGAACCCGGAAGCCGTTGCCTGACGTCATACCTGGGATGAATTTGGAAACGTGTGAAGAGTAGAGGACTGTGTTTCCAGCACCCGCATGGTGGTGCACAACTTCCACGAGGTCCGGTCCCAGGGGACCCGACGCCCTCTTCCGGTCCCGGTGGGCACGCTGTGGTGCACTTACGTACACGGAGACCGTACATGCGCACACGTCAAGATAACAACCAAAATAGGTCTACAGCGCGGATCCCTGAAGGGAGAAGCTCGCGAATGTGGGTTCCCGGGATCCTCTCTGCCCCCCACGCGTGTGGGGACGACAGGTATTTCCCAGGCTTGGGCGATCGTGTCATAAGGGCGCTGATGTCATCATCAGTAAGACGTCATCAGCGGGTTCATCCACAGCCAGATTCAAAGTTCAGTGGGATATTGGGAACTGGGAGAAGTCAGGCTGAGGGGGAACTAGTGGGCGGAAATGACATCACAGGGGCATGTCCTCGAACGGGACACTGGGACCCTAGTCTCTTCGTCTGTTTCCCTTTTCTTGGCTATATAATGCTCCTCACAAGCTGTTTTATGGAAAGTTCGATCCCTACAGGTCGGGCCTTAGGGAGGTGATTGCACCGTGGGGCTCTGACGTCATCACGCACAGATGGAGTCATACCTCCACAGCATATTGGGAGGTCGGGGAAACTGAGGAGGTGGGCGGAGTGGGAGGAAGTGACGTTGTGGAGGCGTGTCCTTCACGGGGACGCAGGGACCCCGGGCTGTTCTGTCACCGTGACGTCAGCAGGTCCGCCACACCCCCTGTTCCCCGCTCCCTGGGCTTCCGCCCCTGGAGTCTGAGGCCGGACCGTCTGCCCCCAGCGGGCTCGGGCCTCCATCTCGGGAGGGGAAGGCCGTTTGCACCCGGAAGTGGAAGTCCGCTCCCACGGGGAAGTCTGTCTCCACCCGGAAGTGGAAGGCCACGCCCACCCGGAAGCTGCGGACGCACCTGTGCGGATGGGGTACCTGCCGGTGAGGAAGGCGGCGCGGCTCGGTGTGCACACGGACGCCGCTGCCAGGTGCTGTGTGAGCCGCACGCCGTGAGCCGCCAGCCGGTCGATGTTCGGAGTTCTGCGGGGACAGCGAGTGTCAGCCAAGCCCGGGGTGGGTACGAGTCCCCACTACGTGCACATCATGTGCGCCCAGGCACCGTTGGCGTGTGCGTGTGTACAGAGCCAGGAGAAACCACCCGGTTCATGGCCTTCCCCCGCGGTGCTACCGGAAGTACTCAGCTTCTGTGCAGCAAGCACCCCGGGTGGTGCCTTCTGTCTGCTCTGCGTGGCTCTGGTTCTACGTTTTCAGCAAGATGTGCACGTGAGGGGCTGCGAGCGCTTCCTTGCCTGAGGGTGCCGTTGCCATAGCAACCGAGGTCGCCGATGCCCAGGTCGTCAGCCATGAGCAGCAGGATGTTGGGCTGTGAAGCAGACAGCGCAGCGGACGAGGGTGGGGACATCAGGAGGACGCACACCAGCACCCACGCGGCACTCCTGAAAGACAGGGAGTCCGTGACTGGAAGAGTGACTTTCCCTTTTCCCTCCTGCTCCTCGGGCCTCTCACAGGGTGGGAACAACCGAGTCTTACCCCCAGCAGCAGGTGTGGCGGCGCATGTTCACTGCAGCTGCGTGTTTCCTGTAAGACACAAAGACACGTAACAGGTGCACACGGCACACCGGAAGCATATGCCACACATGCTACTGACGGGGACACGGCTACACATCCGGCTGGGACCACACACGCTGACCCTATGTGACGTCACGCCCGGGAGAACTGAGTTACAGGGGAGGAAGGTCGGTGGTGAGCAGGGTTTCAGGAGGGCTAGCCTGTGGTCACTGCGCTGCCCTGGCTTTGGGTCTGTCCTTCACTTCCTCTTCTGTCTCCTCGCGTTCTTCCCCTGTCTTCTCGTTCTACTTCCCGTCCTCCATGACGTCAGCAGCTTTGCCCTACCCCAGGCTCCCATGATGCTCTGCGCCACCACAGGCCCCAAGCCCTGAGCGTGGGAACCGCACCAACCTTCCTTCTGAGTAAGTCAACTCTCCCAGGCGTGACGTCACAGCCCAAGGCTACAAGGACACGGTGCGCTCACTCTACACAAACACGCTTCTCATAGGCTCGGGGCACACACGTACACACATGTGCACGCACACACACCTGTGTCAATACAGCCGTGAAAATGAAGGCGTTTGGTGGCACGAGTGTGGGAAAGGGACTCGGGTTCGCTATGATGCACACACATGTGCATGCACACACACGGCACACACATACAAATAAAGGCATTTGGTGGGGTGACTGTACTAAAGGGACCAGGGTTGCACACGCATGCGCACAAGTGCCCGTACACACATGTGCACACACCCCTGTATAAATACAGAGCTGGAGATGAAGGCATTTGCTGGGGTGAGCTGCAAAGGCCTACTTCTGGGGTCCACGTAGACGCATATACATGCACACACACATGTGCATGTACACAAACATGGAAATGGAGTCATTTGGTGGGGTAAGTGTGGCAACTGGACTAGCGCTCCCCATGCACACACATGCACATGGATGCATAGACACGTGCATGCACACATGTGCATACATATACACACATGCCTGTATAAACACAGAGATGGAAATGAAGGCACTTGGACAGGGTGAGTTGCAAACGGACTACTTGAGTTCCACACACATGCACACACATGTGCATGCACACAGATGTGCATGCACACAGATGTGCACGCACAGCACACACACACTCACACACGCCTGTATAACTACAGAGATGGAAATGAAGGCACGGGGTGGGGTGAGTGCCGTCAGCTCCTCCACAGGCACAGAATGTTCTAGAACTCGAACAATGGGCTCCAGGCGCCTGGGGTTTGTTTATCCCACCGCAGGAAGCTTTGCTCCCCCCCCCCCCG